TCCGGAACCACGTGGGGACCGCGGAGCGAGGCCGGAGCCGATGGCCCGTCCCCTGCGTGCAGGCGTTGGGCGCCCGCGCTCACCTGGACCTTCTGCAAGGCCGGACTCTGGGTCCCGTGGTGCTTCTCGTCCTCCAGCACCAGCAAGTTCATGGGCAGCTTCTCGTGGGCGGCGCCCCGGAGCTTCTGTGAGCCAAGCAGAGTACCTGCTCCAGGACCTGGGGCGGCGGGTGGCCGCTCCCCCAACCACTCCGAGGACGCCCCCAGGTCCTCCGTCTGGGTGGCCTCAGAGGCCTTCCGGCTGGTCCTGGAAGGCGCCGGGCAAGAGCAGGGGTCCTGGGGAGGCCCCAGAAGGGGCAAGTTCCAGAGTCCCCCATCTCAGCCTCAGTCCTGTCCCGGCTCAAACACCTGCCTGCTGACAGCCTGGGTCCCGGCAAAACGAGTCGAAAGGCACTGGAGTGAGTGTCTCAGGAAATTAAATATACTTTCTCTCTCTCTCTCTCTCTTTCTTGTCGGAGTCTCACTCTTTGTCACCCAGGCTGGAGTGCAGTGCCATGTTCGTGGCCACTGCAGCCTCGACCTGCCGGGCTTAGGTGATCCTTCCACCTCAGCCTTCCAAGTAGCTGGGTCTACAGACCATGGACACCACGCCCTGCTAGTTTTTTAAAAATTTATTGTGGCGACAAGGTCTCACCAAGTTTCCCAGGCTGGTCTCCAACCCCTGGGCTCAGGCAATCCTCTCGCCTCAGGCTCCCAAAGTGCTAGGATGATAGGCTGAGCCTCCGCGCCTGGCCAATATATTTGCTTTTTCAGGCACCAAGATTTTGTTTTGTTTTGGTTTTTTAATCTTTTTAGCATCAACAATTCATTTTGGCCCAGCACAATGAATGGTACATGCCTATAGTCCTGTCTATTTAGGAAGCTGAGGCAGGAGGATCGCTTGAGCCCAGGAGTTCAAGACCAGCCTGGGCAACATAGCGAGACCTTGTCTCTACAAAATAAAAAATAAAAAAAGCTAAGTGGTGGGTGCTCGACTGTAGTTTTGGCTATGCAGAAGGCTAACAAGGGAGGATCACCTGAGCCCAGGAAGTGGAGATTGCAGTGAACCGTGAGCGTGCCACTGCACTCCAGCCTGGGCGACAGAGTGAGACCCCGACTCAAAAAATAAAAACTAAAAGTTTCACTTTGAAGAAATAATTGTGATAAGAGATGATTGCTATTTTTAAATTTTATTTATTTATTTATTTATTTCTTTATTTATTTTGAGTCAGAGACTAAATAAAAAATAAAAATGGCCTTCCTTGGCAAAGTAAAATTTGGCAGCTCTATGCCAGACACCAATTCTTTCTTTTCTCAGATTTCACTGTGAGACCCAGAGCTTGGCACTGCTGCTTTCTGAGAAGGCAAGGGATGGGGAGCCGTCAGTCTTATGCGCTCCTCCGTCCTGGACCTCCTCGGCCCTTGGGGCTCTGGTTTTCTAGACCATTTCTTCACCCTTTGTGAAGTGCTGGTACCCCATCTCTGGAGTCCCTCCATGCAGATTGTGAGCCAGGAATGTTTGTTCGGGTTGGAGGATGCTGGGACACGGTGGTGGCTGGGGTGAAACGGCTACCCCAACAGAGGGCTCAGCCGCCATTCTCATTCCATGTTGGCCTCTTCAGGGGCTTGTGAGGGCTGATTCCCAGGTCTTCATTTTTCTTTTTTTTTTTTTTGAGGTCTCACTCTAGCCTGGAGTGCAGTGGCACGATCAGTGATTACCACAGCCTTGGCTTCCCAGGCTCAGACCATCCTTTCATCTCAACCTCCCAAGTAGTTGGGGCCACAGGCAGGTGTCCACATGCCTGGCTAATTAAGAATTTTTTTTTGAGTCAGAGTCTCACTCTGTCACCCAGGCTGGAGTGCAGTAGTTCTAGCTACTTGGAAGCAGGTCGACCTGCTGGGCTCCGGCGATCCTTCCGCTTTAGCCTTCCAAGTTGCTAGAACTACAGGTGCGCGCTACCACGCCTAATTTTTGATTTATTGTAGAGATGAGGTCTTGCCAAGTTGTCTGGGTGGGTCTCGAACCTGCGGTCCCAGGCAATCTGTTTGCCTTGGCCTCCCAAAGTGCTGGGATGACAGGCTGAGCCACCGAGTCCAGCTGATGTTAGTCCTTGAAACAAAACTCCTGCCCTCCTTCCTAGACTGCTGTGCAGGTCGAATGAGAGGGTGCCGGTAAAGTGCTCAGCACTGGGCCTAGCCCTGGCGTCCTGACAGTCTGGGAGCCATATTTGCCAGATGAATGAACGGGTGCAGACTTCTCTGCATCCCCTTGTGAAGGCCCCCTTGTCCAGTGGCCGCGCTCCAGAAGCGGCTTGGCCCCATGACTCACCTACCTGGCACCAGCCAGCCCTGTGCCCACGCCCAGGGGGAGGGAGCAGCAAGATTCCCAGAGATCCAGGGATGCCCCAGCCGGGACACCGTGGGCTCAGTCCAAGCTCCTCCCTGACACACAGGGCCTCGCCTCGCCTTCCCTGGGGTCCGGCTCTTCCCGCCCACCACCCCTCATGTGGTCACCCTCCCTTTTTGAACGGCTTTGACCTTCCGATGGGTTTATGTCCTCCCTTCCACTCCTGTTAGGGTGCGTCTTTCCCTCCAACAAGCCCTTGCAGGGCCATCCGAGCCGCCTTCCTAAAACAGGTCAGATGGCACCACTGTCCCTCATTCAACGACACTGAGTGACTCCCCGCTGCCCGCAGAATAAATATCTTTGATGCGCCCCCTCTGGTTTGTCCCACTCCAGCCTTAATCTCTAGCACCAGCTGTTTTCATCACAGCCACGCTTTCGCCCAGGACAACTTGAGCTCCCTGGTTTCCTTAAGCCTGGAAGACTGTCCCTCCAGCTCAGACACCATCCCGTCCCCAGGGTGATCCTTGAAGGCCCACAGAACGATTCAGCCACACTAAGGACCTCCTTGCTTCTTTTTAGTTATTCGCGCTTAATTTTAAAATATGTTTACTTTTCTGTAGAACCAGGGTCTTGTACTGCCTAGGCTTGTCTCAAGCTCCCTGGGCTCAGGCGATCCTCCTGTCTCAGCCTCCCAAAGTGCCAGGATTACAGGCGTGAGCCACTGCGCCCGGTGTTCACTGGAGTCACACCTCTGTGGAACCTGTTTTTATTTCTTCCCTCTGCCTTTTGTTTTTCAGGCAGCCTTCCGAGCTAGACTCCGAGAGACTCCCTGCCTCCTTTGTTGACTATACAGCTAACAAATGTGGGCTAAAAGGAAAGCAGGGTGGTAAGCAGGAGGCAGGGTTGGGCCTTATTGGCCTTCCCATTCTCCACAGTAGCCGGGCTTTGGCGAGCAGACACTAGAGCAATTGTTACTCTAAATACCACGAAAAGTGAGACAAGCCAGCACCCCCGGCCCCTTCCTTATCCCAGAGAAAATGCCCTTTCCTGGATGCCACGCGCCCAGGGTCCCCTTGGGCGAGGCCGGCGGGCCGGGGAAGGTCTGTGTCTGCTTCCCAGGCTCCCCGCCTTGCCCTGCCCGTCTTCATCCTTTCTCAGGGCCAAGCACTGCAGCTTCCCCTGCCTCCGCCTCCCAGCCAGCAGCTGGAGGACCTCAGGGCCTGACGGTCCCAGGCGGTGTCCCACCGTCTCTCGGAGCCCGGGTGGGTGGGTGAAGCTCAGGGAGCCCAGCTCAGCCGCCTGCCCCACTGACTCTCAGTTTGGGGGCCGAAGCCTCAGTCTCCCACCACCGGGAACCCCCTGGGGCGGGAATGGAGCCAGCTAGGCCCCTGGGAGCACCTGTCCCCCGCCCCATCACAAGTGTGACAACCAGGTGCCCCCTCCCCTCGACAATAGAGCTGGATCTCCCCAGACCCCTGGAGCCCCCACACCTCTGCCCGCACCTCACTCTCCTCCTCCTGCGCCAGCCGCTCCTCAATGAGCGACGTGGCCCTCTGCACCGCCTCGGGGTGCTCCATGGTGCCGTCCATAACGCCTGTGCCGGCCCCGGGGCCCCGGGGGCTTTAAAGGCTGGAGCACCCACCCCCGCCCGCCGGGTGCCTTTGCCATGAGCTCACCGGCCCAATTCTTCATCTTCACCTCGGGCAGTCCCAGGGAGCCAGGGGAGCCCGGGACCAGGGAGCAGGGCCAGCTGCCCCCCCAACTCCTGGCCCACGGGAGCCAGAGAGCACAGCGCCCCAAGAGAAGGGTTGCAGGAGGGAGCCCGTCCAGCCTTGGCCCTGACTGCCGGGGCCTGGCTGGGTCTTAGCCAGGGCAGCAGGGCTACACGAGGGACTGCCAGCTGCAAGCGCTGGCCCGGAGGGCAGTGCCACCTGCTGGATGCCTGGAAACCCTGTCCTGCCAGCGCCAGCGAGAGGGGGTCAAGACAGCCTGCACCCCTAGGCTGTTTTGCAAACAGGCCCGGCTGGCTGCAAGGAGGGCAGACTGCTTGTTCAGGCCAGAGGACCAGAACAGCAGAGGCAGTAAAGGCAGACGTCTCTCCTTCCATCGTGGCTCATGCTGGTCTCTGGTTCTCAGGGGTCCCAAGCGCCTCCTAGCAAAGCATCACTGCATCTGCCCGTGGGACGGTTAGTCATCAACAAACTTTACCCATCGGCCTCCTCCCCCAGCGCCTCAGGTGTCCTCTTATGGGCTTACAGGATCTTGCTTCAGGAGGGGGGTCTCGGGAAGCCAGAGTGCGGTGCTGAGCTCAGCCGACGCGGGAAGCATCTACTACTCCTTCTGTCCAGGGGTCTCCCTGTCAGGCCCCTGGTGCCAGGCTACCCTGGCCGGGGCCCGGCCATGCTCACCGAAAAGAGAACTCCCAACTGGAGAAGCAGCAGACCTGCACGTGATCGGTCCCCTCCTGTAGCTTGAGGGACAGAGCCCCAGGTTGCAGCCCAAGTGAAACCTGCCGGGGAACCACAGGCACCCTGCCCTGTTTCAAGGCTCCCGGGCCCGCCCTCAGTTACAAGCGTATCATGGTTCCCCTCTGCAGACACGCACGTGTTCCCCTAAGGAAGCACAAGGACCTGGCTCCTTTTTCTCTCGGGCTCCTGGGCTGACGGGTCGACACACCCCTGACACGTGCTCATGATCTGAATCTGCTGGGGGCTTGACCCCAACTCACGGCCGAGATCCAGGTGTGAGGGCCGGAGCCAGTCCCTCCTGCTGCAGGGCGGCCCACCTGCCTTCGCTTTCCGGTGAGCGGTGCTTTCTCAGCTGTTCTGCCCTGTACCCCCAGCACTGATGGGGGAGGCAGGGAGGCGGCTTCAAGCCCCACTGGGAAGAAGAGCGCCTCAGCCTCCTGTGTAGCTGGGTTCAGAGGTGAAGCGGCTTTTCCTGGGGACCCATGAGAACACGAGAGGCGCGGGGCCAGGAGACTGGCCGTTCAAGGCCCACTCTGCCGTGCCCAGAGCAGCCGGGGAGGCCGGGTGTCCACCTGTTCCCACACCAGGGCAGCCACAGAAGAACCCAGTCAGATGCCAGGCAAGAGAGAAGGAGCAAAAGGCTTTATTGATAAATACGCAGCTATGTCTGTACACAGCAGCCTGCGTGGGGGCCGCGGCCAGGCCACAGACCCCCCGCTGCCTGGGACGCAGCCAGGAGATGGCCCTGTGCAGAGCCCTGCCGCAGCAGCCCAGCTGTCCACCACCTGCCTGTCTCTACCAGTTGTGCTGGGGCAGGGAGAGGCAGAGGCCCGCCTCAGGCTCCCCGAGCCCTGGGGCTCACCGATGGTTCCCTCCCCTCCAGGGGGCTGGCCCCGTGCCCAGGGCAGAGCCAGGGATGGGGGCAGAGGAGAGAGACAGCAGCTGCTTCAGACCCTGAGCGGAAAACCGGAGTGAGCACAGCCGGCAGCACCCGATGACAGATCTGGGCTCCAGGGGCCTCCTGGCTGGCCCTTGCGGCTCGAACCTGCTGCAGGAGGGAGGCAGGGTGGAAGGCCCCGGCTCGCCTTTCTCTGACCAGCGCGAGGCCTGTGTGTGGCAGCCTGCTCCCTGGGTGCCGGGCCCTGCTGGCCCACATGTCCTGGGAGGCAGCGTCCCGCCAGGGCCGGCCCGGCAGCCACCCGACAGGGAGGCGCCCCGAAGAGAATGACAGCACTGGAAGGCAGCAGCAGGGCAGAGGGTCTAGTGCTCCGCAGGGCCGCTCAGCCTCCCCTCCCCGGGGTCCACGGGCCCGTCAGTCCTGGGGCGGCGGGGGCTGGTTGACGATGACCTGGATGACAAAGTCTTTCTGGATCTTGGTCTCCTGGAGCCGCGTGCGGTCTGTGAGCAGCTTCCCGGAGAAGAACCATCGCTGCCAGGACGGCTCGATGCCCTCCTGGGCGTGCAGCTGCCTCTTGAGCTGGCCCACGGTGTCAGGCAGGCTGGCGCTGAGTCTCACGTCCTTGCCGGTGGACAGGCGCACCTTCAGCGGGAACTCGCGGCGCACGCCGGGGGTGGGCTCGGGCGGCTCCGGGCTCTCTTCCTCTGTGCGCTCCAGCAGCAGGTTCACGGGCGGCGACAGGCAGTAGATGGGCA